TCGTCGTCGTCGTTGCCCGCGCGCGACGGACTGTGACGCGTGACGACATCCACAATGAGGCCTCCCCATCCGTCAGTGCCAGTGACGCGGCACATCACCTCTGCCGGGGCATCGTCCACCAGCATATGGCGCAGGAAGAGACGCGCCTCGCGCCCATACGGCTGGTCCATCTCTGGTGCATCCACAAGCCGCAGACGAAGGCGCACCATCTTGCCCTCCCCTGCCATGGTGCCGTAGAACGTGTTGCCGTCTGTAACAAATTTTGGCTGAACAGAAATTGTACGTCCCATCATGTCGGGCTCTTCACGCAGCACGAACGGTATGAGCACCGCCACAGTTGCCACCAGCATGGCCACATAATACTGCCAGGCACAGTCGCGAAGCTTCCACACGTCGCCGAGTGAGGGGAATACCATGACGATGGCTTGCTCCCCACCAACTCCGCCGCCCAGGCACACACCCACCCACTCACACAATCTCCTTACCTACCGCACCGCATCAATCGCAAATATCAACAAGAGCAATCGATGGGCCAAGGCACAACAACAAAAAAATAGAAAGGGGAAAGCAAAAAAAAAAACCCTACAGTTAGCAAGGGAACACATAGAATCACATACCCTAGTAACACACAACCACAGGACGTTGGGACCCGTATTTGAACCAAGAATCGCTTCTGGAAGAGTGGACCCCAGCTTTACCTCAGCTCATGTCTGCCTCACTCGCCATCGCACAGCTCCTTACAGATGCAGTCCGAGCGTCTGTGCGGCCCTTCTCGGCCACGCCGCCATGTGAGACTCACGCGGTCCCCGCGCCGCAGCGGCGGCATTGAATCCGTCACCATATCGACACGCCTCTCTGCGATGCAGTGCGTCCACGCGTAGCGCGCGTCACCTGTCATGAGCAGCAGACTGCGCGGCGCCGCAAATACCCCAATTGGCTGCACCACCACCGGTTGTGTTTCATGCCGGCAAAACTCTATCACGGTATGTGACCCGAGCGAGACAATCAACACGCACTCGCCAAATGGCGAGTGGGCGTCCACGTGGTGGGCGATACCCGGTGCCGCTGCGCCGTCACTGTCGTAGTCGTAAAAATTCACAGTCAATTGGTCACATACAGTGGCCTGCACCGCAGCAGGCAACCCCTCGATGTGAACTGCATCGTCCGCATTACGCAGACGCTGCTGCATCCAGTCGTAGAAAGTCGGCTTCGGGTTAACAGAGTCCCCCTCACCGCCCAGCTTGTTCACACCGTAATAGAAACGTCTGTTGAAGTGCGCGACACGCCGCCGCGCAAGGTTCTCCACCTCCAACGTGGAAGCGCCCGACCCCTTCAGCTCCTGCCAAATTAAATCATGTTCCGCCGATGTGATGAAGTCTTCCACAACAAAGAGCCCGGGCACTTCCACAACTGGCTCACACATAAGCTCACGGCAAGCGGAACCGCCATTCATTAATCGTTGTGCGTTATTGACATGCAAAAACTTTTCTGCCCCCGTTGTCGGCAGCTGAAACACATGACGACATGCGTCTAGCACGGCGCTTGCCTTGCAGTAAAGAAGATACAGCAGCGAGGGGCCCGTGTTCGGAGAGGACCCACCGCTCCACAGGTTCGCCACATGCAACATGTACACTGAGACAGCCACAGGTTCATTCGGCACCTCAATCGTGAAAGACTCTGTGACTAACGGCGTCAGAGTCTTGACGTTCCCAGAGGGACACACCAAGGCAAATGGTAGGTGTGGGCTGAAGTGAATCGTCATTGCTTCATCCGCCAGCCCTGTGTACTCGCGCAGGGATTGGCGCAGCCCAAATGGGTTGGCACCTGCTTGTACGCCGCCATTTAAGGCAATGTAGCCCATCGGTTCATCGGTACCAGGTACAGCAACGTACCCATTGAGAGGAGAGAGGTGGTTGGAGACTCGCGCCATCCACTTACGGCAGCGCGCCCGCGCCTTGGCGATGTCCTTTGCCGACCAACCCGCATCCGCAATCATGTCGTGTCCAGGCACACACGCACCCACAAAGAAAGCTCTATAGCTCTTCGCCTTCAAATACCCTTTGTGAGCGCCAGTGCGTTCCAACGAGCAGCTCCAGTTTCACCGAAGAAGCAAGTGAGGAAAAAGATAGCGCATAAAGTAAAGAAAGCTCACATACTTTTGTGATGCGCAAGACACAAAAAACGAGCAGCATCACACACACACACACACACCATTAGCGCTGGCACCTGCTGCAGAGGCAGATCTCGCACGACGCACAGTACCACACACGCCGGTGCGTTGCCACGTCCTCATGTCGCAGGACATTCTCGCCGCACTTATGACACAGCACCAGCGACTCCCACTGGGCTCTAGGGATGCGGCGATAAATCTCGTTTAGCGTTCCAGCGTATCGCCCGACATGCTTGCACAACGGGCAGGGAATGGGCTTCTGCTGCGAATGAAGCGCCTCGCCGTAGTAATTGCGTGTCACACCAGACTTGAAAATGTGATCCTCCCCTGTCATTTGATTTTCTTTGTATCTTTTCTTCTCCGCCTGTTGTCGCTTCGCTTGGTTCGCAAGCCACCACAGGCCAGCCTCTGCTATAAACAGTATAAACGTAAAAAATGCAAGGAGGCGACAAATAAAGAGGGAGAATCTGAGAGAAGCTCAGGCGGGGACCGGGCTGTGCCGGACAGAGTTAAGCGTGAAGCAGAACCAATGTGAAGAATAAAAATTACACACGACGCACCCGAATCAACACGGCCACAGTTATTGTGTGTGTGGATGTATGTGTGCGTGTGTGTGTGCATTACTCGCTGCCGGCACTGCCATCGCTGCCCCACTTATCCGCCTCCGTTCCGCCATTGGCGGAGTCATGCTCCCACGTGCGGGAGCGCTGCTTCACCCCCCGATGATACTCACGACGCTTGTGCCTCTCCGCCTCTTCCGTCAGGGCAACATACAACCAACCGTCGTCGCCACAATCATCCTCATCAGACGCATCATCACTTTCCTTCTTGTTCTTGTCGTCGTCTTCGTCGTTGTTGGGCCCCACCTCTTCCATAGCAGTGTCGTCATCAGGCGGGGCACATGTCATCTCTGTCCGTTGTCGTTTCAACGACTTTGGTTCTTTCCCTGTCAAACCCGTCTCCATCTCCCGTGCACGATTCTCTTGTTCCTTGTCCTTGTCCTTCGTGTTGTTATCATCACTGTTGTTCTTATTATTAGCGTTTGGAGCCGTAGCTTTCCTACCGATTGACGACTTTACCACCTCGATGCTCCAGTTGTGCACCCGCAATGAACGCAGGAAAGCCGTCATCTCCGAGTACTTCGGATGTGGCTCCACAACAGCCGGGTGATACTCCTTCATGGTAGCTACGTGCTTGTCCTCGGCCTCCCAGCAGGGCCGCGTCACGCGCCGTGCCTCATCCCTTGCGACCAGAAGCGTGCCCACACCAGGCGTTCGGTTCAAGTCAAGGTCAACGACGTCAGCCGCCACGCACGACATTGCAAATGTTGCAGAAGCAGCAGCAACGTCGCCACTCCATTCCTCTTGCATGGTCCGGAAACGCACCGTGCCGCTGTTACGCACCACACGGTCATAGCCGTGGTAAGAGGATAGAAAGAGGTACAAGTAAGGGCCTGGCGCCAGCGGGCAGGTGACGCGGCGCTCAGGTGAGAGCGCCTCTTCGATGAGCGACTCCCTAGCGCCACGCACAGTGGCAAGTACGGTACCAACAATTTTTCGTATCATATTGAAAAGGAATGAGCTGCCCTCGATCTGGAACACAACAAAAGGTAAAAGACCACCATCAGACGAGCCATCAACAGCGTTTTGCTCAGCTTCTGATGATGCCACCGCTGCCGCTGCCGATGACTGGCCACTAGCGACACTCAGTGAGTCGTAGTACTCAGCCCGTGTCGGTCCCGTTGCGGATTGCGGTAGCAAGAACACACGCGGTGCAATCTCGCAGCGGTGGACGGTGCGCACCGCCTCGTTACTACTAGGCGCAATCACCTTCCGGCTCCACCCAGAACCACCACGCTGCATCATGTCGACAGAGAAGTTGTGAAAACGATGGGTCCCCACTATATAACGCTGTAAAACTTCATTGCCACGCATCACTGCTGCTGCTACCGCTGCAAGCCATGGTTCTGTTTCGTTGGGGCACAAATCAACAAACGAACGCTGCTCCTGCGCGTAACGGCACAGTGAGTCCTTGGCCAGAGGGAACTTCTCGTAAAAGCTCTCCCACGTATCGCAGGGTGGGATGAGCGCATAGGTAGGAATCAGGTAGCGGTACACCCGTCGATTGCAACAAAAACGCGGGATAAAGTTCCCCATCAGATGTGTAACATGTGCCACACGCACCGTCAAGGGCAGCACTGCATTCAACCGCTGCATGAGTTGCTCGCAGCCGCCCACCGCCTCGAACCTCTCGTTGGGAACAAAGAGGCAGATGAGATTCCGCACGGCGTGCACACCGCGATCGGTGCGGCACGAGCGTGCAAAGTGGTGCGTCTCACCGCTCACACGCCCGCGCTCCAGCGCCTCCACAAGTCCCACGTCCTTCATGGCCTGAATGAGCACACCCTCAACGGTGTGCTGGGTGAGGGTGTGTGTCTGCAGCTGCAGGCCGCGGTAGCCGGTGCCGCAGTACATGATGCAGAGCCCGAGCAGCGTGTGGTCCTTTGGGGCTTTGCGCAGGCACATGCGACGGCCCTCGAACGCCTTGCGCCGTGCCATTGACGTGCCTCGCCACGTGCAAGAAAAAAAAAAAATGACCGTCCTTGAGCGAATAAAAAGCAGGAGAGAGGAAGGGACCCAGAGCATTCATCGCGGAGACGCAAAGAGAAGGGAACAAAATGGATTTTTGTTTTCCGGTTTGGAAGGGCAGAACTGATGTACTCAAAGCGAACCTTATTTGCGTCCCACAGCAACACCACTAGCGCATTCCTTCCACAGAAGCGAGATATAAGCACAACAGATTTGAACGCTTCGCCTTACTCAGATGCACTCTCCGGCACACAGACAAATTAACCCAGTCAAGACAAAAAGAAAGGCGATGTATTTCGGGGGCGGTGTCCGCTCTCACACAATACCCACCTCCTCTCCTCTTATCTTATACTCACCCTGGCAATAATTCCTATTCCTGGAGCGCCGCCCTTTCCACCTGTTTCACAATGGCATCAATGACATGTGTGACCGCCGCAACCGTCTCGTTTTCGTCGCCGTTCTCAGCAGCGAGGAAGGACTGGCCCTTGTCCTCCGCAATGGAAAGCATTGGGTCAATGGGGATAGCGCCGAGAAAGGTCACCTCGTACATGTCCGCAAGCCTCCTGCCCCCACCACTGGAGAAGATGTCAGTGCAGTGCGCGCAGTGCGGACAGACAAAGCCCGACATGTTTTCCACGATGCCCAGACAGCGTAGACCCATCTTATGGCAGAAGGAGAGCTCTTTCTTAACATCATCTGTTGCGACATCCTGCGGTGTCGTCACAACGACGGCGCCAGAGGGACTCAGCGGCTGGAGAACCTCACAGAGTGTGAGATGCTCGTCGCTAGTGCCCGGCGGCGTGTCGATGATGAGGTAGTCAAGTGAGCCCCAATTGACATCCATCACGAACTGCCGGATCATCGCATCCTTCTTTGGGCCACGCCACACCACAGCGTCCTTGTCGCTCGGCAACAGAAAGGCAATGGACATGATTTTCAAATCCCGCTCGCGCCGTGCCGTAGGGTCCTCGACGAGAGAAATTGGCTCCCAGCCCTTCTCGCCGCGGTAGACGTCGCGGCCCGCCACGCCACAGATCGTCGGCACACTTGGGCCGCAGATATCGACGTCCAGCAGACCAACCTGTTTGCCGTGCACATGCGTAAGCGCAAGTGCGAGTTGGCAGGCCACCGTCGACTTCCCCACACCGCCCTTTCCGCTCACTACGAGAATGATGCGCTTCACACCGTCCAACGAGGAAGCCATTAACTGTTTATTGCCTTCTTGCCAGCCAAGCTCTTGGTGTGTCCATTACAAAAAAAAACAAAAAAAAATTAGTCGGAGGAGCAGACGGTAAGCAAGGTACAGAGCAAAAGAAGCAATCGCCGTGGTTTAGATTTGCAGAGTCCCATTCCTCTCTCCATCCTTCCTTCCTTCCTTCTCTTTGTGTGTGAGTGTATGAAAGCGTCTGTCAGTAAGGGATATCAGCTCGCCACTTCATCATTAGCGACTATCGCCGTCACTCCTTCTTCTCCCTCGTGGACTCCCCTTCATCCTCCGCAAGTGCCTCCAAGGCCTTCCAAATATCCTGCGCCTGCTGTATCACCGTGGACGGGTTCGTCAGATCAAGCACATAGTGGCTGACATCTTCGCCACTCTCCTCGAGCCGTCTACGCGCACGATCCTCGCGGCCTCGCAGGTACACAAACACCTCGGACAAGCAATGCATCCCACTGGCGTACATGGCCACACAAACAACAACCGCGACACCAAGGACAGCGTACACCGTACCCCACAATAGGGCCTTCCAGGCCAACAGGACGTGCTGCGGCGATGGAGGCGGTACCAGATCTCTCCCCTCCTCGCTACCGTAGCGCTCCTCGTCCATGATGTCCTCCACCGTGTCACTATTCGGCCACAGCGGCGGCT